GATGAGGAGGTTCTCAGTTTGTTGGATGAAGTATTCTTCTTAACAAATCTTCTGTTGTATTGATTGGTCAAAAGTGCCATTTTCTTCTGCAACTCCGCCATTTCAGACTCCATGTCTATCTCTTCATCACTTCCTTCATCTTCTTCTGACATCACTACAACCTTCTTCTTCTTTTGCGTTTTAGTGGTACTCCTCATCTGAGTTTCCATCACTAGAGCAAGTGGATCAGCAATTTCGGGTTCTGCAGTGTCGTTTACAAACTGTTGGAGGTGGTCATGAATGGTGTAAAGATCAACTTCATCAAGATCCAGTTTCTGTCTCACATTCTTCACTGTTCTCTTCCATTCAGGGCTCAGACTTGATAGAAAACGTATGTTCAGCTCCATGTTAGCTTTGTTCACATTGATCTTTCTCAGATCATTCACCAGCTTAACAAATCTGTTGTAGGTCTCATGTAGAGGTTCACCGGGCCTGGGCTTGAAGGAGTCGTAGGCAGTGAGTGTGCTTGCCTTCTTTGTTTTTAAACCGAGATTGGTTCCTTCCATCAACTTTCTGATTTCATCCCACATTTCCTTAGCAGAATCCATGCTATCTATCGGGATATAAATGTCGTTTGGAATTGCTTGGAGCAGATATGTTTTTGCCATCAAATCCGCCTTGACTCTCAATCTATCTTCTTCAGTATATTCTTCAACAGCTTTAGGTATCCTTACTGGTTCAACGGGGGGTTCATTATCATTGTCACCTCCTAGTATCATCCAGATCTGAGCTGGTCCCTCCGTCAGTGATTCAAGCATGACTGAAGAGTTGTCTTTGCTCTCGAGAAAATTGAGGAACCTGTTCTTCCACATTACGTACTCGTCTCTCCTCAAGATAGGGGGTCTGTTGTCATTTCCCATTGAAAGAGCGTCCATTTCTGCTGTTCTAAGAATGACCGTTCGAGTGATTGATCTGTCACAAAATTACTTCTAAGTATGGATTATCGAAAAGTGAAACTTCGAAAAACTAGGTTCGAGAACTTAAGGGTTCGAGAAAGATTATCGAGAAGTAAGTTTTCGATATCAAACTTCGAAAAGTTCGTTTTCAATATAAGAGTTCGAAAAGTCGATTATCGAGAAGTCTAACTTCGAGAAGTTCAGTTCGAGAACTGACTTTTCGAGTTTGAGTTTCGAGAACCGACGTCGAGAACCTGCAATATCGAAAACAAATAATTCAAAGGACAAATATCGAGAACTACTAATACGAGAAGCTAGTATCGAAAACTAAGTTCTCGAGCTTAATGTCGAGATCATCCTATCGAAATCCTGTACTTAAAAATTTTCAGAATTTTAAAAACGAAGACTGCTGCTATGTTGTTTTCGATGTCGAGAAGGCTCCTGTATGAATCAACCTTCGAGAAACCTGCTAAAAGTGTCGAGAACCTGTTTTTCGATATGAGGGTATCGAGAACTTCAAATCTCAAAGATTACAAGTATCGAGAATGAAGATATACTCCTGGTTCATCTTTGAAAGACGAATCCAACAGTATAACTTTTACACAAAATTGTCCAGAAACAGATTTACAAAGGCAGATTTAATAAAACATTGAGAAACATGAAACAGAGTATTTTTTGCAGTTTTTCGTCGATGCAGATCAGTACTCGATCGGCTCTGATACCAGTTGTTGGTCCCAAATTTCAGGATGAATGAACAGCTATGAACGATCTACAATAATATAGAGAAGGATTCTTAATAATGATCGAGAGATAATCTGAACAGAAGAAATCCTTACGCTATACTATCGAGAACTATAGAATGAATGTTCTGAATGAAAGGCGCTGTATATTTCTGATTCTCGATTGTTCGGTCCTGTACCACATGTACGCATATTTATAGGCGTAGGTACAGGTACCGAAATGGTAACCTAGAGCTCTGGGCCTAAGGCCTTTTTGGGCCCTATTCCCTTAACTCATTTATTCTTTACATAAATACTAAAAAGATAAGTCTAATCTAATTGGGATAACAAGACTCTAGACAAACTTGATCACAACAAATATTTTCCTCAACAGATTGATATTTGATCCGATCTTGTCTAAGACTGAAACCAGTCCAATTAAAAACACCCTAATTGTATGAAGATTTCCTAATTTAGATTAGGAATCTATGTCAAAAGTGAAGGAAAATCTAAATTGTAGTTGTAAAAATAAAGAAACAACTAAACATGTTTACTTTTTTTGCTGGGCTAAACGTATTCATATATGTATGATATGAATTTACATTTCCATCCTCATAAAGGTAAGATACTTGATCAGAAGTTTTAAATGTTTTCATATATGAATGTCTAATAGTATATATCAATTTCATTTTAAGTTAAAAAATCTTTTGGTTATAATTTTCATCATTATCTCAACAATTAAGAAAGAATGGTATGATGATGCATAAAAATACGAAGTATTAACACAATTGCAAATATAAGTCTGATAACTTTAGTCATTATCACATTGAGTTTAGAAAACATTCAAAAAATTGAGTTTAGAAAAATAAAATATTACTCCGTACTTTTTAGGAAATGGAACACTATTACATTATTTATAAAATAACTTTGAAGAACAAAATTGATAGGAACTTGGATGATTTATTTGTTAGGTGCGCAAAACACGGATAATTCACTTCTCAATAGAATGTAGTAAAAATAAAAGTACAAAAATAATTAAATTAAATAAAGTCTATGTGCACGGATGACTATTTATTGTTGTGGTTGCAATAATTGCTTATTTTAATAACAATCCATATTACTACGGAGTAAGTAGTAGATTCTAAAAAAGTTACCAAATAAGGTGGATTTTATCATACGCGACGGTCTTTTGTTTCCATATCAATATGTAATAAAAAATAGAATGTAATAAAAAAAGGTATAAATAGTAATTAAATAATTGTTATATATGATGACATGGCAGGATTATGTGGCACACCAGATGCTCTTAAAATTCCTCTTATATATATATTTTAATAAATATCCATATTAATACGGAGTAAGTAGTATATTCTAAAAAAGTTACCAAATAAGGTGGATTCTATCATACGATCTTTTGTTTCCATATCAATATGCAATAAAAATAGAATGTAATAAAAACAATAAAATATATAAATACTAATTAAATAATTGTAATATATGATGACATGGCAGGATTATGTGGCGCGCCGTATGCTCTTAAAAAGTTCCTCTTATATATATATTGATTTTAAATTGAACGCCGCACATAACATGAAATACAATTAGCAATGACTCATAATTACCGGTGTATTATGGGAAAGTTCCCGAAATAGAACTAAAACAATTAGAAAATTCTAAAATAGGACTGACATGATTTTTATTCCCAAAATAAGAGTAAACACTGTCAAGTTTGGAAAATACTGCCATGTTTGAACTCTGGTACTGCCAAAACATGACAGTAATTAGTCATATTTTGATAATAAAAACATGACAGTCCTATTTCGAAATTTTCAAACATTTTTAGTTCTAATTCGGGTGATAATCTCGTATACTATCTGCTTTCTTTTTATTCATTACTAGTATGTAGTTGCTATAGTTATTAGGATGCAAATGATACCAGTAATGAGTTATACATAAAATGTTAAAATGTTGAAGAGGTTGAGGGGAAAAGTAGGAATAAGATAACGAGTAATTATAAATAGAAAAAAAGGAGTTGATACACACTTTTTGGAGAGACTTTACACAAAATGTGTACAAAACTTGTGCAAGGCCCCTCCCATTCTTAAAATTTTCCCTAGGTACTATTACTATAATATTTTTTGGCCCCCTCCAAATAAATTTGTGAAAGACTAGATACCAAATAATACTAATATTTATGTTATCAATTAATATTATAAAACCCAAACCTCTAGTGGAATTTATTGTTTAATACTTAATTATTAACAAATATATAAATCATGTGAAAAAATCATAAACTAAATTTTAATTGACCTGCACATAATTTATAATTTGAATACTATATATGAATTTTAGTATTAGTGTATCATTTCATATTGGTACAATATATTTATATTTTATAGAAAAAATTGCATTTGTAATCTCGTAACTTTCGGCTATGACCGTTAATAGTCATGCAACTTTACTCTCTTGTGATTTTGGTCTTGTAACTAATATAACTATGCAATTTTGGAACTTTTCTACTAGAAAGTACACTTTATGATCGAAAATTCGACATCTGCACCATAATTTTCAATATTTTTTGTCCATATATCATATGTTATATTTTTATACTTGTACTATATTCCGCCCCCTTTTACTCAAGTCTGACTCCGCCCCTGAACGCGTGTATACCATGCACCATCCTTTTAAATATAAAGAGTGCACCATGCACCATCCTTTTAAATATAAAGAGTATTAAGAAAGAGAAGAAAGGGAAAAGGAGCAAATGTACCATTCAGTTTTATGTGGTAAGAGTAAATATACCCTCTAACTTCATTTTGGAACAAATAAACACATAATTTTTGAATTTGGAACAAATATATACCCTTTACCTTTTCATTTTTTGTGTTTAATTGTTCCAAATGAAAGTTGATGGGTATTTTTGTGCACTTAGATATAGTTCAAGGGTATATTTGTATAATCTCTCGAGAAGCAATAGTAGAAAAATAACAACAGATAAACAAAGACAAAAAGTTGGCAAAAAAGAAATAGAATAAATAACACCGTAATGTACAACAAATACTATAATAATTAGAACTAAAATTGCATAAAAAAACTTATCAAAAAATTATAACAAAAACTTATCAAAAATGTACAAAGACAAATACTTATTAGTATTGGTTTTGTTCCATTCCTCCAACGTTATGTGGTGTGTGTATAAAAAATATTGAGTAATTTTTTTCGATGGACGTATGTGAGTGATTTAGATCTATAATCTCAATTCAAAAATTGAAAACTTAGTTTAAAAGGATGGATAAAGTACGGACTTGAAAATTGAGTAATTGAGAATGAGAGAATGGAAGTATTTGAGCTATAACACAAACTTGTAAGAATTCTTATTTCCAAATTCATTCCCAAGATTATTCATTCCAATAAATTAATTCAATTTTACATATTCTCGTACACATTTTTTGTCCCCTAAAATTATACAATTATAGTCAACAATTACACACTTTTTATTAACAAGGAAGTATTAAGCTCATTACAAATACAGGATTAATTAAACTAAATAAGCAATGTTAGCATAAATAAATAAATCCGATTACTGCTGAGTAACAACAGCCAAGGCGCTATCAAGCTCGGCGTTGTACCGTTTCATCGCCTTCTGCAACGGAAATTTGAGGCCGAACTCGTCCAGCGCGTCCGCGCAGTCGCTCTCCACGGCGGCGCTCAGGCGGGTCATCAGCGTCCCTTTGTCGTGCGACAGGAGGGCATGGAGGGACAGCTTCAGATCGTCCACCGCATTCTCGAAGCTCTCGCGGCACGTTTTCACCAGCGAGTTCCTCGTCGTCGGCGGAAGGCCCTTCACCGTCGGGAGGATGGCGCTGCTCATGCCCTCGATTTTGGTGGCGTATTCGATGGTGGCCTTGATGGCTCTCTCGGACGCGTCCCGGAGGCTTCTAGCTCCGGCAACCATACTGGCGCAGAGCTTCTTGTCGGTAGCGGTGTGGCAGTAATCGCCGTCCGCAGCGGCCAGATCGGCGGCGTGGGCGAGGAGGAGGAGGAGGAGGAGAGCAGCGGCAATTCTGAAGGGCAACTTTTGTGAAGCCATTTCAATTTTGAACGAATGATCTGCTCAGATTTGGGTCAAGCCGAATCGCCCTTCTGATCTAGATTCTTCCTCTGTTCTAAGACAATTATTATGATAATAATTAGTATTTATTACTATTAATTAATACTGCTTAATCATTATCGAGCTAATTGTGGTATATCTTTGTTTGTTTCTTCTGCTTTAGGAATCATGTGGACAGAAATAAAAGTAGGGATTGGAAATTGCAGAGGATGAACGCATAAGAAGGTTTGAAGGAATAATTGGGGCGAAAAGTGTGGGGCTTCAGGAATTCAATGGGCATAGAGCCATAGATCGATTGGTCGGTATTAGTTTGTAACAAATAATGATGTTGTAGTGAACATTATTTGTAGAGTGAATTATCCATATAAGAGTAAAAGCAGGGAAGATTACACATTTAGGAGATTAGGAGTGATGATGGAAGCAAAGTTTAGTAGGACTAAATTGAGCACAATTTGACAAAAATAACCCTGCTCTATTCACAAGCTTGAAATTTTTGGCGACAACAAATGGAAGGAGATAGTGGGCCTGTTTGGTAATGGCGCTGAAAATCATGAAAAGATTGAATCTGCTGAAGTGAAAGTGTTTGGTAATGTGTTGACTGGAATGACTTAGGATATGTTTGACACAACTAGTTGAAAATAAACTTTTGAGAGCTTTTTAGAAACTGTTAGCTTTTAGTGATTGAAAAGATATTAATAATAAAGGATGGTAGTTGTTTGTTAAAAAACCGACTGTTTGATTTAGTTCTGTTTGGTATACAAGCTTTTTGGATTAATTAATGTTAAAAGCCACGGACTTTTCTGAGATACTACTCTTTGTAGCATCTCAAAAAAGATCTTTTATTTTTTTAAAAGTTCTTAAATATTGTCATGCCAAACATACAACTAGAAGCTCTTAGAGACTTTTCAAATGATAAAAAAAGCTAGAAGGCAGGGACTTTTGCCTGTCAAACATAGCCTTATTGAATGTAGAATTACCATAAAGGGTGTTGACTTATTTTATTAAATAGATAAGTGTCAAAAGAAAAAATACGAACAAGAGGAAACTTATATTCCCTTGCACCTCTTGATAATTACGGTATAAATAAAAGCTAATTGTCTAATTAAAAAGGAATTCAACCAATTTGATAATCGTCCAGTAGGATCACTACCCGAAATTGTAAATTTGAGTTTTTAGAGCATTCTCAAACAACTCTTACACCTTCATCACTTTGTAATACACTCTTCATTTCTATCCTAGAATATCACTTCGAATCATACCTAATTATCTATAGCTCTTAGAGCTAAATAACAGTTCGCTTGCATAGTTGATTTGGCAAAAGATTAGATAACAATCCAAGAATCTTTCTCCCAACATCTGTTTGTGAACAATCAGTAATCATCATATAGAACAGAAACACCGATAATCATTTTCATATCTTACAACTAGGAGAGGACATTCTCGAAATATGAAGAAGATAGAGCAATATGAAGCAGCTAAAGTAGAAAACTACTTCATGCATCCTAAAAAAGTAGAGCAAACTGGAAGATGAAAAGTGCGAAGAAGATGCAACCTAACTAGATATACTCCGTATAGAAGAGGGACAAAGCAGTCATTCAATACATCAACCGTAATATAATAATTTTCAGCCAAAAAAGTAGCCCAATACTTGCTTTTTTGGCTGATAATAAGAATCAGCAAAAACAACCCATTGAATGGGTGTTTGGCCATTTTTTTGCATTTAAAGGCTTATCAGCCCATTTTGTATCCTCCAAATGGCCTCAATATTTAATGCAAAAAAAAGGAGACAACGGTTGTTTATGGAATGTAGTAAGCAAGGAAATATGAAAATAGCACGCATGGAGAGACAAACTGGAAGTGAAGTATAGTGATAGAGGAGGAAGAAGGAGTTGGATGAAATCGTTGGTGATGATTTCTAGACAAGACCTAGCCAACTGATTGTTCGAGTGAATGACGAACTGTACATAGCTATAAATTTCTGTTGAACATGGATTTTCGTATTAAACGAGCAACTTAAAATGACCGGTGAAATGAAACGAGTAACCTGGAATATAATGAATGCAATAATAATGACAATGTTTTAAGAGGTTACACTATATGACATAAATAAAAAATGATGGAGTCTAGGTTTATGGGGAAGAAGTACTTTATTCCCAACTAAATAGAGGAATTGGTAGATGTTAAAAAAAACATTAATGAATGAGAGAAAGTTGAATGTTAGAGATGGTATTATGATCTTTGATAAAGTATTAGCAGTATGGATGTAATGTACGTAGTACTGTTTAGCTTGGTTGAAAATGCTAAGGTATTGGATTATAGATATTATTGTGGACACCAAGTAAAGGTAGGTTATCGTACACAAAGGAATATAGAGGTAGGACATAAAGAAATACGACAGATTTGTGAAAAACCCCAAACAATCGGATGACAAATGAACATTTGAAATTAAGAGTGACCATTAGAATCAATAAGCATGTAAACTAGAACATGGCAAAAGGGTGAATACAAAAAAAAAATTGTAAACATAGTAGGAAAGTACAATATAGATACCTATGATTGTGGGTTAAAAGATTGAATTGGAAAGGATATTACTCTAGAAATGGAAATTATGATGATCATTAGATGGTTGAAAAGCAAAAAAATGTGACAGAAGGAGGCATGCATAATATATATTTTATGCAAGGTTCATCATAAATGAGGGAAATTACATTTTATGTTACTTATATGAGATTTAAGTTATCTTGTATGGTCACAAAATAGATTCGATGAAATATAGGTCATTAAATGAGATATGGAAAGAAGGAGCTCGACAAGTTGGAAAGCATGCATATAAATTGTTATTGTAATTTACTCCTTCCGTCCCATTTAAATCTTTACACTTTCTTTTTTGGGACGTCTCATTTACTCCTTTACGTTTCCTTTTTTAGCAACTTGTTTTACTTTAATTGTCCTAACTACCTTTTACTAGCCTACCCACCCACATTTTACATTTCATTGGAAAACATTGATGCACCCACTATCCCAGCACGGTAGCACCCACTTCCAGGCCCATAGCTCCAGCCAGAGTTTGAATCGAAGGATTCTCCTTTAAAATTAGATTAACATGGGCCTCTCAAGCCATTCATAAGATCGATTCTACAATCGCATGTGTCAGTTTATCCCTGTCCGGAGACAGAAGCCTTCATCTGCCTGGAGATGGATCAGAAGCCGGTGTTAGGTATTGCTGCCGCCAAGAACGCGGTCGCAGGCAATCGGGATGCCTTCTTCGGAGTTCCAGGCCTGGAAAGGGGAATCAAAAACATCGGGCTCTATAAGGGCTGTTGAATTCCTTTCTTAAGTCATAAAATCTGGATTTTCTTAAGGAATCCAAAATTGCCGATTGGGAATTTGCGATTGCAGCTTCCCTCCTGTACTCTTGTTCTCTTGGAGATGAAGTACGATGTAGTGGGATGAAGATGGGGAGGTTATTGGTTCAACAGAAACGAGAAATTTGTAAGGTGGGAGTAGTCGGTGGAAGTAAAATCGGTGATGGAAAAGGGTAGAACTGATATTTGCTCTCATATTAATTGATGTCCTAAAAAACTGATCCAAAAGCAAACGCAAAGATGTATCCGGGACGGAGGGAGTAATTGAAGTGGTGAAGAGTATATTGAAGTAATTGACGCCGACATAACATGAGGATTGACGATGGTCGGATGTGTAGTAGGCATACTTCCAATCAAAATCATAAACGGGCAAATGTAATCGGGGTTTCTATGCAATTATGATAAGTCTATGAACTAAAGGAAAAAGAAGAATGTAATCCAAGTGAATATAAAGAATAGTCTGATAAGCTTCTGGAAGAGAGATTTGTTCATGTTGTTAGGGTTAAAAATGAACGATGTGAAGTTAAAGGTACATGACGAGCTTAGTGGCGCATGTGGAAGAAATACTTTGGAGGTGCAAGTGTGCAACAAGTGTTTAAAGAACTAATGTTGTCAATGTCTTGATAAAATACAACAATGGGGACCCTGCAACTCAAAGATATGTTGGCGTTAAACTTGTTCCACTCCATGTCCTCTCACATGGATTTTTCAGGAATCAGGTGGCAAGGGAGTTACCCACCCACCATATGAATTCGGTGGATAACTTGTTCCAACTCAAAGATAACTTGCTTTAGAAGTCAGGCGTTTCAGCTTGCCAAGCTTTACGGCTGGAGTTCATTGTGTCTGCTGGTTAGGTGGTTGCATAGAGATTTGGAAGTATGTCGCTAATCTTGAGAAGAGAGATATTCTTAGCCGAGAAGCATAGACTCAACTTGTAATTTTGGTCACAAATAGTGGCCGAATTCACTTCTTACTGGAGGAACATTTCGACCTTCGTGTGAAGTCAAGTCCCTAGTATACCATTTGTCCAAATAAGATGTAGACTTTAACTAAACAGTGATGGTTTCATGCTAAAAAATGAAAACACATCTTATGTGTTGAATTTATGGACAATTAATTATGAAAGTGCAAATGTAGTTTCACTTGTTGCACATGGTTGTTATAGCGTTATACTTCATTTTCTTACGTTGCTGAACATTTAATGTTTCACTACTTTTTTATTGTGTTGGACAAATGAGTGGCCAAAGATTTCTTACCAACGTCTTTGCACGTGACTACTCTCCTTATCAGATTAACCTTTTAAGATGAAACCTTAAGATTTAATATGGTATCAGAGCAGATTAAGTTTCAGTGAGCAATTAGATCATGATAAGCTTCAATAACAAGCACATGAACTTCAAGGTTGATGTGCTTCAATGAGCCGCCATCTTATAGGGGCATATTAAGCTATTCCGCACTGGCTGTATATATAATCATACAAACTAAGATAAGGCTTTGATATCATATTAAGTCTTGAGGTTCAATCCTAAAAGATCAACCAGATAGCAAGAGATACCCATGTCTTATATGTTATTTTGTAAATTTATATCCAGCCGTTGTGAGACAACTTAATAGAAAGCACTATAGGTGTCAACTAACAATCTAAATCTTTGTTAAAATATTTAAGCATAATCTTCCAGATTCTTATTTATCATAATAGCACTCAACAAATTCAGCATAGGTTAGTTTATACCACGGATCAAGAGCCCATCCAACATTTTTTTAAGTCTTGCCCCATGCGCATTATATTAACTAACATGTCATGCAAACTTTGCCAATGAACAAACGTACTGCAAAATTACTATTTCCAAAGGAAAAAAGGTAACCCAACAAGCTAAAACGTACTCCAAAATGATACTACACAACTAAGGTAACCTTACTTGCTGTGTGACACCGCACCCGGATGTACTTGAACTTGAAACTTGGCATGTAATTGATATTCCTAGAGAATAAAATTCGTGTGACAAAATTCGTACATTTAATTAATGTGCGATTAATTGAATTATTCTATCGAGCCCATAATAATGAGAATGAGCTACCAAATATTTAGTTGGGTTATCATAATAATTTAAGGAGCCCAATAAAGGGTCAACCAAAGTTGATAAAAATATTTGGACAACCCGAATGCTATTTTGGCCCGACCTACCGAAAATAGCAGGAATAATTGGGAGGGACTTCCTACACCCACTTGGGGTATCCTGTACACTAAATTAGCTCAAATAATAAGGGAGGGGGCCACACAAACTTGGCTTGTGCGGATGGTGGGAATGGGAAGTCTCATTGAGACAAAACCCACTCACCCATGTCCTATCCCACACCTTGT